TAATATTACTTTTCTATAAGCTGGAACATTCATTCAATCTCTCTTCTATGAGCTGGACAATTCACACAATCTTACTTTTCTATAAGCTGGAACATTCATTCAATCTCACTCTTCTATGACCTGGACAATTCACACAATCTTACTTTTCTATAAGCTGGAACATTAATTCAATCTGACTCTTCTATGAGCTGGAATATTCACCCAATCTGCCTTCTCTTCTACAAGCTGATACATTCACAGATTCGGACTCTTCTACATTCAAATCTTATGTTATGACAACCGACGTCACTGCACACTGGATATTTCCCTGTGTGCTCAGTCTTCCGATGCAGCAGCCACTCCAAGGTACTTCTAATTGTTCCCATGGGAGGTTGGTTTTAATGTCTCCTATCAAGGCCTCGAAGATGGCATAGACGCACTTCATGCTTTATCCCCATGTCACGCAATCATATTAGTGTCTGAGATTCGTCTTTATCCACTGGCCCAGTCTGTACAGTGCTGACGATATCTGCTCTGTCCATGCTTCTTTCCACATGTGTTAGAGCAATGCTTGCAAGTTGGTCCGCTCATTCATTACCCTTTACGCCAGTATGACCAGGTGTGCAGATCCAGGTAATGGAGGTTAAGTGCAACTGTCAACCCATTCAAAGAGCACACCACCTGTTGATATCTTCTGAAGCATGTTTATGGAGCCTGATACAATTACTGCCTGTGTGGCTTCTGCGTCTCTTCTCTTCTACAAGCTGATACATTCATGCCTTCATATTTGTATAGACTAATGGGCCCTCAATGGGTGATGTGGTCAACATCAAGCCTGTTGCCTCGACCTGGTAGCCATTTTAAGCTGAGACCCTGCTCCCATGCTCCATCTCGTGTGCATGATCAAGTGAGGATGTGGCTGCCTGCCAGCTTCATACATCCAGGTGCCATTTCCACAATGAATGCTGGCTGCAACAGACTTTCCAAACCGTCTCTCATCCTTGTTGTACACTTTTCCCCATGTGGGTTCCGGGACCCGTTTTAAGGGGAAACAAGAACAGACCCACTCTCCCCAATAACAAGAACAGACCCACTCTCCCCAATAACAAGAACAGACCCACTCTCCCCAATAACAAGAACAGACCCACTCTCCCCAATAAACATAACCAAAGAGGTGTCTAATAAGGAGAATGTTGAAATCATCTGTGTTGGGACAAAAGGTGCTGATATAACAGCTAGCTGTCAACCACACAACACAACAACCATCCTCCTATTAAACGCACAAAAGAAAAAAGTACTCTCTGAGACTGCATTTATCACTGCCCCTATTTTCACTTTGTACAAATGGATCAAAAGAGGTCACGCAGCATCCATGGGGGTCAGGTAGCATCCATGGGGGTAACGTAGCATCCATGGGGGTCACACAGCATCCATGGGGGTCACGCAGCATCCATGGGGGTCAGGCAGCATGAATGGGAGTCACACAGCATGAACGGGGGGTCAAGCAGCATCCACAACAGCATACTCTCCTTCCTACTTATATAGCACAGAAATTCTAGCGATTCCTGTTTGTATGTATAATCAGAATGCACAACACAGGCAACAAACTTGATTATCAATGAAACCGATTATAAATTAATCAACACTTGAAACACCAAAGTTATCAACATATATAAGAAAATGTAGCCATACACATCACAGTTAGCCTGGATAAAAAAAAGAAAAAATGTATTTAAACTCTTTCAGTACCAAACAAATGTTGAGGAAACCTTAGAGCAATATAACTAGAAAGGCTTTACACCGGAACCCACAAGAGCACAGAAGTACAGGCAGACCCAAGAAACACACAGAGAAGGGAACCAGGGAGTGAAGTTAAAAAGATGGCGAGGACAAGGTGTGAGCTGCATGCCATAGCAAGGAACGGAACAATTTGGACTGAGTTGGGTGACAGCCTGTGCTCCACTGAGAGAAACATGTCAGAAGAGGTAACAGGTGATGCACTAGTTGTTTATTAGTTTCTACTATGTTTTTCAAATTCCTAAACTCCCCAGACCACACCCAGTTGTTATGCAAACCTACGCTGCTACACTCAGTCTCAAAGACTCAGCTAGAGAAACTAGAGCGCATACAGAATGAAGCTATGTGGCTGTTCCTGGGTTGTACAAGAGACACCCCGATTGTGTGCATGCAATACATCTTTGCATTGCCGACTATTGCAGATAGGCTAAAGGTGCTGCTGGCTAAGTCATACCTCACTCAGAGTAGCTGCAGACGGGGAACACCCTCTGTTTGAAGCTTTGGCTGCAGGCAAGGGTCAGAGGATGAAAAGGGGAAAATCGTGGAAGGCTCAAGCAGAAGACATAATAAGACAAGCATGCATGCTGGAGAACATTAAGCGGGAAAGTCTGACCTGTGTAGAGTTATGATAACATTGGGCCAGGTCTGCAGAGTGGCCAGCGGGTGCTACGGAGGTTGAAGTCCAACAGTTGATTCACGACAATTCAGACCCAGGTGATCTGATTATCTATATAGATGGTTCAGTGTTGAGAGGAAAGAGAAGTGCCTGAGGGTTCGTAGCGACCACAACATCTAGCATGAGAATGGAGGTGGAGGCGGTAACTGCAGCTCTCCGGTGGCTAGAGAACAAGATGCATACACATATCGTAATTGTAACAGACTCTGAAAGCATGTTGAAAAAGGTGAGGACAGGGATGCTTCGAGCAGAAAGGTTAGCTTCACTGGAAAGGTCATGGGTGTTGAGCATACTTTGGATCTTTTCTCCAGGCTATGCCGGCATGGTGGGTAATGAACAGACAGACAGATTGGTTTGATCTGCACCACTGGGTGGTGAATTGATATATGACAAGGCAGATGTGGTCAAACCCCTTTAGGAACAAGCAACTGAATCAGTAGAGAAACAAGGTTATTATGGCTTGGAGAGAATGATGCACCTGGGTGTAACCAGAGGGTCTGGCCGACTCACTACACTCAGAGGAAAGGCAAGATGGACTTTTAATCAGATTGTGACTGGTACCTCCAGTACTGGAACTCTGCGCTGGCTGCTGAAGATAAGGACAGAGCATGCATAGGAATGCCCCAAGTGTTGTAATGTCAATTCTTGACTCAACTCAACCTACGCTGCTACAATTCTTACTTCTACAACTCTTCCTCTCTCACTAAGTTATTATTTCACTCACTGTGACCAACCATTTACTAGCTGAGGTATACACCCGAGGGAGATCATATCTGTCTGGTACTGAAAGAGGGGGTGGTGTGTGTGTGTCAATGAATACACCATGGTATGCATCAACGAGATGCAAAGACTAGATATACTGACAGCATACTTCTGTGAACATGGCAAAGTTTATACACAGTGGCATTTCTACTTATTTATTTGTTCTTTAGAAAGCTTTAAGCCAAGCCATATTTCACAATGTACAGAGTTGAAATGTAAATATATACAAAAGAGGATCAGCGAATCATATTTAACTTATCTCGCTGAAGATTAAGTTGAAATGTCAACAAAAACAAGACAACAATTGAAGCCTTTGATTGGTTATGCCTGGAAAAAAATATTTGTGCTAGTTAGATATGTACATCAAATTATGGTCATGACAAAGAAATGGAAGCAATAAAGCAAGTATTCAAACTCATAACAACATACTAGAAGTTCAAATGTTATGGGAAAGGATTGGGGGGGTGGGGGGGGGGGGGGGGTAAAGGGACAGCAGATGTTATTTAAAAAAAATGACGTAGGTGCTGGCGATAAATGGTCAAAACCAAAAGTAAATTAAATTTAGGACTGTGTGTGTGGGGGTATCAATATTTTTATGTAGACTATGTGACAGAGGCTGCCACTCCTGCTTCGGACATTAGTCAAAGCATATGATGTTGTCACATCCAGTGGCACTGCGCTATGGTCCCCAAGGACTGATGCTACTTACAAAGAGAGGCAGGGAGAGGTGGGGAACGAAGTAGAGACAGAAGTAAAACACAAGAAATTTAAAGATTTATATAGAGGAAAGAAGATTAATGGGGTCAGAAGCCTTTGAAGCAATCAAAACAACTGATAAGTAAACAGGCAGGGCACTGGATAACAAACAAAAAACAGAAGTGACACACCGGATGAAAGACAAGAAACAGACAGGACGTAATGGACAACAGGCAATAAACAGACAGAGCATAATGGATAAGAGAAAAAAAAAAAAAAAACAGAGGATATAATGGATGACAGAGCCACACATAAAAAACCCTGAATATAACAGATTTAAAAAAAAAAATTGCAGGACAAAATGGACAGCATAAGGAAATGATGGATGACAGACAAGAAATGGACAAGAGACAAGAAAAGAAAAACAGGACACAAAGGAAGCCAGACAAGAAATAAAGCAATGTCTTGCAACATGGCAAAGGTACTGTTTGTGAGGTATTTCAAATAGGTGACCTATCTTCTGTCCTGTCTATTGTGTCTTCTAAAATATCTACATAATCTACCAAAACAATGTATACAGACTTCAGCAAAGAAGGGAAATTATAATACTGACATAAAGACATTCACAGATGAATTGAGTTTCTTTTTTCCCTCTTTAATCAGACATGTTAAATGTTACACTGAAAACTCGTACCACCACTGACTGAACTAACAATATTGAAAAATTCGAAATATAACTTTTAAATTGTCTTGCTTTCCGCAAACCACAATCAGGACTCGGCCATTTTGTATGGCTGTTCTTTCCTGTTACATTTGATGCTAGGATTATTGTCAGTAACATCATTTTTCAGAGAACATCATACAATGAACCCTCACAGCTGGGCCCAACTGCCTGTTATTGTCACTTCTCCAGGCTGCCTTTAGTGATCTGTTTATGAGACGCATGGCTAATGCACCTGGCTGTTCTGGCAACCTGAGCAAACGTTAGGAGGTCACAATATGACAGCATTAATAAAAAAAATGGGATGGTCACACAAAGTTAAAGCCAGTGAATAATTCATCATCGTCAATCACATTTTATAGTTGATGGTCACCTCCTCCGTTTCTTCTCTTTACTCAACTTTGTGTCTTTGCTCATTCTCCAGGTCTGCTCTCTCTTGGACCTGACACTTCCAGTGCTGACTGTCAGTTGTGAAGGAAGTGTTTTTGTCTCTTTAGTGGACAGAGCCACATGAGACTTGCAGGTGTCTTTAGTTAGAGCAACGCTAGGCAGAAGATTGGCAGGGACAACACTGACAGCAGCCTGGGGATGTTTACCTGATTGTTCGAAGCTTTTCCGTGAACGCAGTGAGAAGGATATTTTAGCACTGCTTGATTTTGAGGACGAGACTGGGGATGACAGTAACCTGCGCTCCGTCACCGCCCCTGTCCCACTGACAGTGTCCAGTTTTCTTCGAGAACTTTTTGGAGACGACTCTACTTTAGATTCCAAAAGTGAGTTCCTAAATATGACCGACAACGGCGGTGATGACTTCTGTAGGGTGACTGAGCTCTTTAATCTAGAACTTGTTTCTGGGCTGCTTTTGGGAGGAGTTTGTAGGCCAATTTTAGAAGTGGCTGAAGGAGACACAGCAGCTAGTGGACAGAGATTCACTCCTCGGCTTCTCAGGCTCTTCTGATGAAATGCTTTGATGGCAGCTTCTGAAGATCTTGTCATGGGTGCTGCAGAATCAATCCCGGTTGCGGCTGATGGACTGCGGCAATCTTTAGTCACTTTTATAAGCCCAATCTTCTTTAGTTTTGGACTTGATGGGTCGTCTTCACTTTTCCGGGATTTTTTGGTGGGGAATGGAGAATTGTTGTCTGCTGCTCGTTTTGTGTTCACTGACCTGTCAGACATGTTGGATTCCATGGAGCTGTGTCGTGATCTCAAACCAAGCGGACTCTTCAGTGAATCCTCTTCAGCAACCAGACCAGAGCTTTCTAACTTACAATCTTGAAGCACGGCATTCAGTGGTGATGGGAAATGGGTGTGTCTATGAGATTTTTCTCCTCTTTTCCCTTTAGCCTCATGACTGCTGACACAGTTGATGCTGTCTGGCAATGAAGTCTGAATGTCTGCAGACAGGATTAAACCACCAGATGATGAAAAAGAATCCTTCTTGAATGAAATATCCTCATCAACAGTGATGGAGTCACTCCTCGATCTCCGAGTGTCAGTCACTGATCTATGGGCATCACTAGCAGATCTCTGTGAAGAATTTTTTACCAAGCTGGATTTACTAACTTCATCTGCCACCATTTCACCTCTTCTTTTCAGGTCTTTTCCTGCTGTTTTGTCAACAAATTTAACCGGTCTGTCCACAGAAAAAGTACGCCTAAATTTAGCTGGTATTCTGCCTGATGTGGTATCCGGAGTGAGAGGTCGCTTGTGTGGGGTTATCTGTTGACAGACTTTATTTGCCGGCGTGGTCACTTTTCTCACATGACTAGATCTCTCGAAGCTGATAATATCACTGTTGGTTTTAGAAGGGTGCCGAACTTTGACCTTACTGCTGTTGCTACTGACTAAGTTATCAGCGTTGTCATCCAAGTCCCAACTAAATGGTGCCGTTTCACTTTTCTCTCTCAAGGATTTCTGCTTCCTTCTCAATGTATCCAAACTTGGGTCTGAAACTGTCTCTCTGGCTGGCACAGTGCGCCTTGTAGCCGATGGTGCTACAACTGCAGCATGAGGTTGAGCAGTTCTACCACTACCGCCGTCATCCTCCCAAACAAACTGTCGGTGGCTTTTTCTGTAGGTCTTGGCAGTGACCGACGGTTGTCTGCTGGAAAAACCGCCCGGCTGCTGTGGTAGAGACTGGTGACCATCAACAGTGGGTATTTTACTGTAGGTGAAACCACCTGCTAGTACGGAGGATGTTGCATTGGATTGAAAGTAGGTGATTTTTCCCTTTGAGGTGAATGGACTGATAGGATGCTGGGAGACAGAAGAGTAACTTCTTTTTTCTGTGGTAGCTGGGAAAGATACCAGGCTTCTGTATGATGTGTCATTCTCAATGATCAAGTCGAAGTCACTGAGATCATCTCCGTCATCAGTCTCATTGTCTAGGCTTGCTCTTTCTCTATGGCTGTTAGGACCGCTAATGTTCTTGTCTGTTCTTTCTGTGGGACTTTCTGATCTGCAGGCTGTACCAGTACTGTTCTTGTCAGAACTGCTATTGTTCTTGTTTGTTCTTTCTTTGGGACTATCTGATCTACTGGCTGTATCACTATTGTTCTTGTTTGTTCTTTCTTTGGGACTATCTGATCTGCTAGCTGTGCCACTACTGTTCTTGCCTGTTCTTTCTTTTGGATTGTCTGGTGTGCTGGCTGTGCTGCAGTTGCTCTTGTCTGTCCTCAAATCATCTGGTGTAGCCACTTCTAGCTCTGCAGATGGCAACCTTATCTTAAATGGAGGACCTGAGCTTGTATCTTCTGTCTTTTGGTCAGTGATATCAGATTTGTTACTTATTCCAAAAGGACTATCATTAAATATGTAGCTTAAAGTATCTGCCTGTTTCAAAAGTGCATCAAACAACTCTGACTGAGTTATCCTTGAAGGATCCCTCAAAAAATTACTACCCTTGTCAACAGTTGAGCTCAGAACAACTGAACTGTCACATTCAGAAATGTGAACATTTGTCACAAGATCACTTTCAGCTCTCACTGGAGGTTCTTCTATACAACTTGTTTTCCCCACATCAATAGGCCGCCTGCTCATGCCACCATCACTGATCAGAGCAGAAACAGTGCTAGCAACTGAAACAGTCATTCTTGGCTCCATGCCAGCGCCCACCTCTAATTTTGACAGAGAAGTTAAACCAGCCTTTAATGTGATGTCACAAACTGTGGCAGCTACACTCAAATTGGCAGTCAACTTTGGAAAAACCTGGTCAGAAACTCCCTTTGCTGAAACTTGTGAATCAGAAATATGTTTTAAACGAGTGCTTTCAGTGTCCCTGAAGCATGTCAGAGAATCACTGACCGTATCCAATAGTATTTTGTTATCTGCACTAGAGCCAGGTTGTGCAACTGCATCAGAAGAAGAAATCACACCTTGAATGCTTTCTACAACATTCTGGCATAAGCTGGCTTGTTCCAACAGTGCTGCACCACAAGTAGCTCCCCAGGCTTGTCTCCTCTCTTCACAAACACTCGGCACTAACAAAGTACATTCTCTACTAGTCCCGACGGATCTGTCACACTCACTGCCTGCACCACTATCACATCTGGGAGCATCACAACGAGGAAGAACCACTTCGGTGGCACAGTTCATGGCCCCCAAATTGTCATCTATCACAATACCACTGTCTACACACACTGGAGACAGTAGCTGCACCTCTTCTTCGCACAGGTCATCTTGCTGGCAGCTGGACAGTCCACATGTTATCACACAAACATTTTTTTCAGAACAAACTGTCCGAAATTCACCTCCTGACATCTCATGCTCCGCAGGCTTCTCTCGGTTCCTTTTGTGTGATTGTATATCAAAATTATTCCTACGAATGTTGTTTGTGAATACTTCACAACCACCTTTGGAAAGCAGATGACATTCTTCCCTCCCCACAGTTCCCTCAGATATTTCCTGGACACAAAATGAACTTGGTGTTGACTGAGGATGGCCATCCTGGACACAAGATGAAGTTGGTGTTGACCGATGACAGCCATCCTGGACACAAGATGAAGTTGGTGTTGACCGATGACAGCCATCCTGGACACAAGATGAAGTTGGTGTTGACTGAGGATGGCCATCCTGGACACAAGATGAAGTTGGTGTTGACTGATGACAGACATCCTGAACACAAGATGAAGTTGGTGTTGACTGATGACAGCCATCCTGGACACAAGATGAAGTTGGTGTTGACCGATGACAGACATTCTGGACACAAGATGAAGTTGGTGTTGACTGACGACAGTCATCCTGGACACAAGATGAAGTTGGTGTTGACAGATGACAGACATCCTGGACACAAGATGAAGTTGGTGTTGACTGATGACAGCCATCCTGGACACAAGATGAAGTTGGTGTTGACTGATGACAGACATCCTGGACAAAAGATGAAGTTGGTGTTGACTGATGACAGACATCCTGGACAAAAGATGAAGTTGGTGTTGATTGATGACAGACATCCTGGATACAAGATGAAGTTGGTGTTGACTGATAACAGACATCCTGGACACAAGATGAAGTTGGTGTTGACTGATGACAGACATCCTGGATACAAGGTGAAGTTGCTGACTGATGACAGACATCCTGGACACAAGAAGTTAGTGTTGACAGAAGAGAACCATCAAGCTCACTAGCTGCACACATATAATAGCACTGTAAATTAGCCCCATCTGACAAATAAGCAGTTTTATCATCAGCACAATTATCTACACTCCCTGAATCCTGAAGCATTTCTTCACTGAAACATTCCTGTAACATGGAGTCATTGCCTGCCTGGGATAAACCTGTTTCTATACATTCTGCACCCAAAGTTACATTTTCATCATCACAAGTGCTGACTGCAGGAAGTGCATTCTGGCAATTTATTCTATTATTACATTGAAGTTTATCATCGCTTCGGTTTTCTGTACTCACACAAAGAAGAATATCATGGCTCCATTTCTCTTTTCTCTCGCAAACAGTGATATCTTGGCTCAATTTCTCCTTTCTCTCACAAACAGTGATATCTTGGCTCAATTTCTCCTTTCTCTCGCAAACAGTGATATCTTGGCTCAATTTCTCCTCTCTCACACAAACTGGTATTTCACGGTTTGTGGTTTCTTCCCTCACATAGACAGGTTCATCTTGGCTCTGTTTTCTAGCACTTGTAACCTTTTTGTTCTCTAAATGAAAATCGTCTACATCTGGGTTATTTTCCAGCACAGAACCCGGTAACCAACGGCTCTCTGAATGCCGTGGATTTAGAGTGGGTCCTACTCCCTGATCTTTAAGGTGATTCCTAGCCCACTGCTGACTCTCTATGCAGCCTTCAGGTAAACCCCGCTCCTGTCCAACACAGTTGCCTTCATAACCAACATCGCTGAAATGACCTGTCTGAGGAGGATGAGATGTCGGGTCTGTTGTGAACATTTGAGAACTGACCTTACTTTCATCCGACTGTAAATCACTACTTTCAGTGGATGTCTTGACAGTCATTACTTGATTACCAGCAACACAGTGATTATCACATTCAGTATTGTCTTTCCCCTGATAACTAATATGTTTTTCACCGGCCTCCTCTTCGTGAATGTCATTCTTCACACTCATTTCCTCCCGGGGATTTTCCCTCTTTGCACTTAGTTCTTTCTGAAGACCACAAAGAGTACTGATTTCCTCCTCCTCAGATGAACTATAATCTACCAAGCCTGAACTTAGTAAAGACTTAGATGTCACGTTATCTTCAGCACTGGGTTCACAGGATTTATCCACAGGTTCATAGCAAACCGGTCTCACCGGTTCTGTATTGTCACTTCCAATATTTACAAAACCACCAGTGGTAGATGAAATATAAGCAAGTTCTACCGATTTCTTTCCATTGTGATCGATGCGTGGGGAAGGACTTTCAACACATGTATGATACTTTAATATAACCGGTTCCTTTCTATTGTGATCAGTGAATGTGGAAGGACAATCCATAAGTGTACTATACTTTGGTATAACCGGTTTCTTTCTGTTGTGATCAATATATGTGGAAGGACAATCAGTAGATGTAACATAAGTTGGTGTTACTGGTTCTAAGCCGCAGTGACCGATATTTAACGTACTCTCAACATGGTGACCAAAGTTTATAGAAAAGCTATCATTCACATGTGTAATATACATCGATTCCATGTATTCCTTAACATCCACATAAGAATTCAAGGGAGACAGGATATCAGTATATCCAATACAATTCACTTCTGTTGTTTCTGTTCTTCCGGAGCAAATATCCAAGGGGGAATCCTCACCAATCAGTCTAAAACTGGCTGGGTTATTGGCATTCCCTTTGTACGCACTTGCTGGTTCAAGGTCATCTTTAGTTAACCTTTCTGCGATAAAAGCAGCCAAAGAAATGTTCGAATTAAAATTCGCTCTACCTTGGCTGTCTGGCTTTCTTTCTTTACCGCGGTCAAGTACTAATGATTCTTCAGAGGACTTTGATGATGAAACTGAATTTGCAACAGATCTGACACATGATGATATTGCTTCCCCAGGACTCTGAACAGATCTGTCTGTGAATGGACTAGATGTGTCTGCTGCAAGAGTTGTTTGACATGTCTCCATACTGTTACAATCACTTGAACATTCTGCAATGCTTTGTTGAAACCTGAAATTCTCAATGCTCACATTGTTGTTTCCCAATAGCTGTGTTTTCACATCTTCATCGCTGTCCGCAGCTCTCTTTGTGAACAAAGAAGCCCTAGTATTATCTCCAGCAGGAGGTATTTCCTTACAAACTTGGGCATTTTCATGAACTTCTGCCAGTTCTGTGCCATCTGCACCCTGACTAGATGTAATACTCATTGTTGTATATCCATTCTCTGTTGTGGATTCTTTATCACATGCAGATAATTCAACATTTGGCACTGAACAAGATTCAAGAGCGTCTTCCTGAAACAAACTGCCGCCTGCATCAGTGATATCACTGTCTGCTTTTTCACAAGTGGTCACTTTTTCTGAGTCACCGACCGCAGCCAAAGAAGCATCAGCACACTGTGTTGTATCTCCCACCAATTTGTCGTCACCATCAGAACTATCACATAATGATCTAGCTTCTCCTTCACCTTCTTCTCTCAAGCTTTCAGTTATTTCATCTAATTTTTCTGCGCTGTTTACATCAACAGCTTTTGGTGTTTCTACTGGCTCTTGTATCACCTGAACATGTTCACAATCATAGCATGGAAGAACATCTTGAGGTGTCCAGTGCTGTTCTTGCGCAGCATCAGTGGCTTCGTATGCTTGTGATTGATTGTGCAGCTCGTGATGGGCTTGGTGAGACTGATCTGCCAGATCTGTTTCTGCAGACACACCAATCACTGAACTGTGATGCTCAGTCTCTCCTAGACTTGGCACAGCACCTACCGATGTCTCCTCCCTTATAAACTTACACAGGTCTAGACTTTCCCTTCCTTGTACAGCTGGAGTTGGATGTAGTCCACAAACCTTCTCTTCATCGACATTACCACCTGCAGGAGAAATATCTCTTACACCTGGCCCATCCGACTGACAACTGACTGCTGCGTCAGACCCCACACCTTCAGATTCTTCAATCAAGTTGACAACCACATTCTCTGCCACTTGGCAAGACACGCCTGCTGCTCCAGACCCAGCCGAACAATGCACAAGTCCACAATCAGACATATTAGAAACTATCACTGTTCTTTCATTATTTAATATTAATGGCTGTGTAGAATGCTTTATACTGCAAGGGCAAATCTGATCTAGGTTCACTTCGTCCAGGTTGTCTGCCATTTCAACTGGAAAATCTTCACTTAAATTAACTGCTGTGTTTTTTATTATCCTAACATCGTTTTGGCCAGTATCTGTGTAGTTCTCCAAATATTCTTCTCTGGATAAATCCTGGTATTTGAGGCTGCTTCTGTCTGAAGTCTCACTGTCTGCAGATCCATTTTTTGAAGTCTGGTTGTCTACAGAACTATTATTTGAAGTCTGGTTGTCCACAGAACTATTATTTGAAGTCTGGTTGTCCACATAACTATTATTTGAAGTCTGGTTGTCCACATAACTATTATTTGAAGTCTGGTTGTCCACAGAACTATTATTTGAAGTCTGGTTGTCCACAGAACTATTATTTGAAGTCTGGTTGTCCACAGAACTATTATTTGAAGTCTGGTTGTCCACAGAACTATTATTTGAAGTCTGGTTGTCCACAGAACTATTATTTGAAGTCTGGTTGTCTACAGGACTATTATTTGAAGTCTGGTTGTCTACAGGACTATTATTTGAAGTCTGGTTGTCCACAGAACTATTATCTGAAATCTGGTTGTCTACAGAACTATTATTTGAAGTCCGGTTTTCTGAACATTCATTATTTAAAGTCCCATTGTCCGGAGACTTGATGTCTCTACAGTGTGAAGGTCCCACGTCTGCAAATATGGGATCTGATAACCCAAATTCTGAGGACTCAATTTCAGAAGGGCTGTTGTCTATCGACACACGATCTGATGATTCAATGTCTGAAAATCTTGCCTCCTGGGACGTTATTTCTAGTCCAGGCGGTGTCTGTTTGCATGTGTCCAACATATCAGAACACTGACTTTGTCTGAGAGCTGATTCTACAAATTTGGACTGGAAACTGCAAGACTGTGCTGAACTGTCTAGTCTAGTCCCCAGTTTAGAACAAATGCTGCGTGGCAATTCACTCTGAAACACGCTGGTGAAATGTCGGGAAGTCAGCTGTGAGCTTACATGAGGTGGTTGATCAAAACATGGGTCTGTACTAGTATCACCTGAACAAGCTAAAACATGTTTGCTGAGTGTTTTGTCTTTTGCTAAAGCTATATCTAAGTCTTCTGCAACCATTTCTCCACCATGTTTCTTGTGTTTTACTAACTTGGATGGTGGTGATATTCTGAGCTTCTCGTGTGCAGGTATATTAGAATGTGTGATATAAACATCTATCTTCTCAAAGGTCTCTAAGCTAACAATAGGTACACATTTCCTTTCTGGTGAGGCGAATGATGATGACGAATCATCACTTTTCTTCACACCTGTGCCCCCTTCATGACCTACCACTGCTGGGACATGCTTGTCCTGTGCCACACCCCGACTTCTAGATAACAAATCATGGTTTGCTTTTAACTCTTCGAGACTCAGCTTTTGTCCTAAGTTAACAGAGCACTGTCGAGTGGGGAATTTGGACGGAATGCCATGGATGGCACCCTGAAGGTTAACAGATGATTCCACATGTATGTCTGACTTGCTAGCCTCAGATTCACTCATGTTTTGTGGCGCATCCAACTGCAAGCTGCTGCTGTGTCTCAAGTTAGCCTGACCTTCCTCATCTGTCTCACCCAACTGGCTGAAATCAATACTGCTCCTCCGCTTTCTGAACCCTCTCACACGAGGTGGACCACTTCTACACCTCTTTCTTCCCACCGGAACTGTTTCTGTATGAGAGGGGTACTGATTTAAATAAGATAAAAAGGAATCAAGGAACGAAGAGTTTCTGGCCTTGACTGCTGCGGATGTTAAATCGTCCTGTTGTGTGGGGCTATCCAGCTGTGCTGATTGCTGCTCAAAATTGTTGCTGCAAGAACTGTGAGGTTGCTGACCTACTGCATCCACAGAAGAGCTTACTTCACGTCTGTGTGGCATCTCCACATCAACATGAAGTGCCTTTAACACAACGGTTGGGTGCAGGTCACATGATTTCAACCTTTCTTTCAGTCGCCTGCTGAGATGGCGAACAGTTAGGGTACGACCGGGTACCAACTCCTTGCCACTTCCTACAATCCTTGCATCTTCAACAATACTGCTAGTTTCACATGACCTATCTTGCACGCCTAACTGACTCTCTAATGGAACAAAACGCCCATTCTGACACTGTGACAGAAAAAGATCGGAACAGTTGGAATCGGCATCAAAGTCCTCTAAAGGTGTGCTAGGCAAACACTTCAGGCCATCGTTCTCATTCTGGACCAAAACTCCTTCATTCAGTTCTGAATTGTCGGTTAGTTTTCCTGTCTTGGAATCAATCACTCCCAGATTGAGGGCAACACGGTTTCTGCTGCGGGTTGTCGGAGGAGCTATGGTGGAGTCCACGCTATCACTATCCATTTCTTCACTTAACACATAGTCATCATCTTGATCTCTTGCAAGTCTGGGGCCCTTACCATCACTGTCCTCCTCCTCCTCCTCCTCGGACTGCTCAAATGACGACTGTGGTGAGCTTGTATTGTCCGTCTGATTTGGCTGGTTAGTTGACCTCTTCAGCCTTATCGCGGTCATGGGCTCTCTGTTTTCGCTTTCTGATTTCTTTGATTTGAAAACCACATTGTTTGATGCATCAGAGCTATAATCATCTTCACTAGACGTAAATGCAGACTGCAGGGATCTTTTCCTTTTGGAGATTTTCATCCTCTCCCTGACGGCTTGAGTTTTACCTGCAAGAAGCCTGCGCTCCAACTGATCCACTTCAGACTTTGATGAAGCTTTTTTGCTTTTCAGCGTTCTGGCCATCTTCTGATTCATGCTGACCTTTTTGGCAAGACCTCTTTGCAAGGCAATTCTCTGACTGCGCTGCTGTGATTTCATGCTGGCAACGAAAGCTTTCATCTTCTCGTAAATGGTCACAGAGTGGTTAGGTACGTGATGCATGTAGAACATGAATGTTGGGTACATCTTCTGACACAGGTGACAGAAATAGGACGAGCTGTCTGCTACTGTTTTCACAGTGTAAGGTTGCAAATGCTTGCCTGCAAAATGCTGCAACAGGATTCTCTTGTTCTGAAAAGAAGCTCTGCATACTTTACAGTACAAACTGTTCCCATCTGATTCTTCTTCACTTTCTGAAGTCTGCTTGTCTCTGTCTTCCCCTGTCTCATCCCCCAGCTTCTCGTCTGTTGTGGCATTTGTCTGTTTAACGGATGTCTTAGAAAAAGGAGAGTTAAATGTCTCATTGATAAAGCTATGAATTGGTTTCAGTGTCTTTCTGTCTCTCAGCTTTGGTGGGGCCTTTCTTGTTGAAACATACTCCTCATCCATTTCCTCTGGATGTCTTCCCGTATTCTGGGTAAATTCTTTACCATTCTCTTCCTCTTTTATTCCTTCATCAGTATCCTTTTCATATTCATTCTCTCCATCCTTAGAAACATCCATAGTATCCGTAAATCCGCTTCCTGTGATGCTTCCCTCTCCTGTCTCACCAGTGTCAACACCATCTTCGGACATGTCCTCCGGCGGACTGTTACTGTCAGCCGAATCATACCAAAAGTCAGAATCTGGATACTCCGATGATTCTCCCATGTCGAGTAAACCCGCTTTACATGGATCTCTCAGACAGTAGTAATCACTGACATCACTGAACTCTGAGTCCAAACTGATGCACTCTGGTATACTCCCACTTCCTGCTGCCACATCTGCGATAACGCTGACCAAATTTTCTAGAACCTCCCCAGAAATAGGTTTGGCATTGCAGGCTTTTTCCTTCAGTTCCAGTCGTTTCATCAGATTCTTGTTCTTCACAGCACACTCCTTCCAATGAACAAGAAAACTTTCATGTGAGCACAAAGTCTGCGAGCAAAGTCCACACTTGTAAAATTTACTTCCTCCTGAACCTGTGATTTCTGTGAAGTTTGGCTGGGGAATCGTTTCAGGATCGTCCTGTGTAACCAGTTTTGAATCTCTGATTTCAAGATCCCTCTTAACCCCACTAATACAATTTGCTACTGTCTCTGCAGGATCATCTGTTAACACCGGCGCATCTTCCATAAAAGAAACACTGTTGGCGACATCTGCACTGCAGACTGGTATCTGCCTTACCATGGTGGCACCGAGGGAGCTTGTCTGTGATGTGGCACTGAGACGTGATGAGGCTGAAGAAGATACTGGCAATGTTGTAGAAACACCCGCAGCTGTGTTAGTTAAGACAGTAGGCGGTGGTATAGAAACAGCTATGGTTGATTTACTGATCAGATTACTAGATGATTCACGAGTCCGCCGTCTGCTGTCAATACTAGAGTCGGATATCTGTGAATTTAACGAGCTTGCCTGTGAGATATTCTTCAATACAGCTTCAGCATTCAGAGACGGATAGGGGAATGGTAAAGGAAGATCTGGCATCATGTCTGCATGATCTTTCGGCACTTTTTTTGGCGGCTGTTTTGAGATAGCAGACTTTGGCATGAATTTCTGTTTATTATTTGCACTCTCTTTTTTTAAATCTGAAGGTACAGTTGGGACTCGCTTGCAGGTCAACCGGTGTTGCTTGATGCCTGCATCGCTAACACACAGTTCAAAACATCGCAGGCACTGAAAAACTGTGGTAGTCTCCACACCAGCCTTTGCTGAGTTGGCCCGGTCCTGTTTTATTTTGGTATTGTACACACTCGATGACTGAAGACCAGGTTTGCAGACATTCCTGACATGTTCCCGGAGATAATCAAGTGACTCAAATGCAATGCTGCAAATAATACAACGGTAGGTGGCGTTGTTAGCAGCATCCATGCAGACCTCGCCTTCAATGTCCTCTTTTTTCATTATTTCCCGCAACTGGTCAACAGTCGGCTTTAATTCATCTTTGATTTCTTTTCTATTATACAAGTAACTTGCATTTTCTTTGGGGTAAGTACAGACATTAGCTTTCATATCTGCCCGCAATGGGTGTTGTTTTCCTGGTGGCCTATCACCAAGTCGGGAAATGGATGGATTCAGAGGTGAATGAGATACTGTACTGGTGGAACATGGTGGTGCTGGCAATAGGGAGCACTTGTTCACTGCTCTAGCCGATAGTTGATGAGAGGCACCAGCTGTCTTCTGGGGCTGGCCGGCTGTGATAGAGCTGGCTTGGGATGACTGCTGCGAGGCCGGCAAATTTTGTGCGGTGTAGGGAGTTTGAGAAACTGGAGGCATCATGTAATTATATAACTGTGAATTAGATGATTTAGGCATCTGAGTGGAGAGGGGCGGCATGGCAGAATGTGGCAAAGAGAAGAACTTTGATTTGTCTTCACCTACAGTTTCCACGTCTATATCTGGAAATGTGTTTGCTAAAATCCCAGAATCTTGCAGCAACTCTTTAATGATGGTGTCATCGATGCCCATAATTGAACCAGAGAGCTCGTCAGATGGCAACACTGGATTAGAGACTAAGTTTGAGGTTGGACTGTTGGGAAAACTAAAGGTATTCATTTGCTGTTGATCTAACTGCAACAACTTCTGCTGATGTTGGTGTGGAGGCTGATGATGTGCTATGTGGTCCGTGCTGTTCATGGAAGGGGTAAACTGCAGCTGCTGACTGGACTGGGGCAATGCCTGTTTGGACTGGGACATAAACATCTGCCCACTGTTACTGCTCAGCTGCTGGGACTGCTGAAACATGCCAGGTTTTGAACTGTCATGCTTCTGAAGCTTTGCCAGTGCTGCCTGCTCCGCCAGCTCCACAGTTGTCCTTGGTCTGCTGGCGAAGCCCAATGAGGTGTTGGCAATGGATGTGTTCTTCACAGTAACAGTCGACCCAGACATGTGCTGAGGTTCTGCAATCTGTTTCTGTTGCAAGTTTGACATCTGCATCTGCATCAAGCGTCTAATGTCCTCCACGTGAGATTTGGCCAACACAAAGCCTTCTCCCTTCTGCTTCTCACCAGATGAGCTTGCAGTTGAACTGTTATTTCTGTTGACCACTGATGACTGGTATCTCTGCGGAGCTAGGCTGCTAGCCGTTGACACAACAATCGGTTGAGCATATAGCTGAGGTCTTGGATGTCGTTTAGGTGGGGACTGTTCTGTGGTAAGGAGTGACTGCTGCTGTCTGGCATGAAGATGTTCCTGATTTTGTTGCTTCTGTGCTTGAACTGAGGGCTTTAGTAAAGTTGAAACTGTTGGCAACGGTTGAGTTCCTTGCTGGGATGGCAAAATAATGGGCTTCATCTGCTGAGACCCTGCCTGCTGTCGCTTCAGTTCTGAGGTTGCTGCAGCTTTTACAACAGAACCTTTCATGATGTTTATGACAGCCTGCACTATGCCTGGATTCGCACTTTGTGTTAACTTCTGCAACGAGTCAGAATCCTGTAAGGCTGACTGAATCATCTCATTTACTTGTTCACCGTGCTGCTGTTGACTTTGTTGCTGCTGCCAAGACTGTTGCTGCATCTGTGTATTTGAAGTCATGCCCTGCTGTGTTTTTCCTTCTCTCTTCTTCTGCGCATTTTTACGTCTCTGCTCCAGTTCTTTTTCATGCTTCATTAGGTAGTACTGGTGCTGCTGCTCCACAGGGACCCCATATGGCTGCTTGCTCTTGATTTTCTCAACGTCAAACATATACTGAGCTTTATTCACTTGCCCAGCTGGAGCAGGGCTGGTCGGTTCTCCGCGACGAACTCCAACAGAACCGTGACCCTTGTAATGATGCTGTACCCCTGGAGATCCAGGCATGGATGCCTTTGTATGCGTGATACTCTGAATTCTCATTCTGTTGAGAAGCATCTGAGTATTATGGTAATCTTGTGCTGACAAAGCCTCAAATACATTTGTAGGTCTACCAGCAGGAACTGTCACTTTAGTTCCATCAATCAAGGTGGTTATCCCAGAATTCTGCGCAATCATTTGCTGTCTCTGGAGTTGTTGAGCATTTTTTAAACTCTCCTGTAAGAATCTTCGGCACAAGATTTGTATGTTGGTATACGACTGGTCGGGGCTGAGGTAGTCTGGTCGCAACATACTGAGCAGCCGCTCCACCTCATACAAAGTTGCTGGGTTTATGGTGCCAGGTTCTCTATTTCTGTCTCGGCCACATTTGTTACAGCAATCTGTTCCCTGGCCGTAAAACGTGCCAATTTTCATAAACGACTGCTCAGTGGGCTTCAGGGCAAAGGATGTCAGAGCGCAGATTCTGGCCACCTTGATGGAAGCATGGTGGCAGAGGCATGCCAGTTTGGCACAGATAGAAGCCATGTCGCTTCTCCTGGCAGCTGCAGCCTCCATGTTGCCCTCCTTCTTATTGGTCTCCATTTGGCCTTTGTCCACATTTATGGCAAATATGCACATGTCCACGTACAGTTGTAGAAAAATCTCCCCACACTGAAATAAAAGAGAAAAAAATCATAAATAACATGTGATGTTAACATATTAAAAATACAGGTTCTATCAACGAGGATTAGATTTTATATGTGTAAAATAAAATTTAAACCAAAAAAAAAAAAAAAAAAAAAAAAAGGAAAAAAAGAAGAAAAAATGAAATGTGAGCGGCGGTTGCAGAAAATCTCTCTGCCCTGGAGAAAAAAAAATTACAGCCACAACTTCAGAAGCTAAAACTTTCAAAATGCAGGTTCTTTCAAACAGCAACAGCATAATGTTGACTACATCACCCACTGTGGCCTATAGAAATCTGAGAAAGCATCTGAGATATGAGGCAGCATATGCCTGATAATCCACTGATGTGGAAAGGGTCCTTTGCTTCACTTATTTTTCTTCCAAGTCAGACAGAATCTGTCTCACAGACACGGAACCAACAGTCTGCATACAAATAAGCCAGATCTGTAAAACAGATGTGCAAGCAAAACTCAAGTTCTGGAACAAGACTAAAAGTCCTGAAGTGGGCGAACAACCAGAACATTCAATCAGAGTTCACAGCGAGTGAACACTATGAAATAGATTTTACTTATTAAAAACATAAATGGACATAACAAAGGGCCCTTACCTCTTCTCTCAACACATTAATGAAAATAACAATTTTCCCTTACCTCTTCTCTCAACACATCAATAAAGATAACAATTTTCCCTTACCTCTTCTATCAACACATCAATGAAGATAACAATTTTCCCTTACCTCTTCTCTCAACACAGCAATGAAGATAACAATTTACCCTTACGTCTTCTCTCAACACATCAATGAAGATAACAATTTACCCTTACCTCTTCTCTCAACACATCAATGAAGATAACAATTTTCCCTTACCTCTTCTCTCAACACATCAATGAAGATAACAATTTACCCTCACCTCTTCTCTCAACACATCAATGAAGATAACAATTTTCCCTTACCTCTTCTCTCACCACATCAATGAAGATAACAATTTACCCTTACCTCTTCTCTCAGCACATCAATGAAGATAACAATTTTCCCTTACCTCTTCTCTCAACACAGCAATGAAGATAACAATTTTCCCTTACCTCTTCTCTCAACACATCAATGAAGATAACGATCTGCTCCGTAGACTGAGAAAGTTTGGCCATGGCCCAAACACTCTCTTTGAACTGGTCTTGCTCTCTGTCCACCAACAGCTGATGCCTAATCCACAGCCGCAGCAGCTCCTAAACATAAATACACAAAAACAGAATTATTATTCATGCATCCCTGTGTCTTGAAGGTTAGTCAACAATTTCTTGACTACTACTGCTCAATTTCTGCCGCCACTGGCTTTCATTTAAAAAAAAAAAAAAGAACGTTCTGTAGCTTTCTTCTTTTTCTTATGTCTTTGCAAAATAATTGTTTTAATACTCAGGACGTGACAATCCAGTTGCCCCAACTACTCATGATAGGCCATGCTTAGAGCCATGAAGAGCTCAGCGAAACCTGCAGGGAATGAGCACACTGTGAGCCCCACCTTAGCTACGTGTCAAAGGTGAAGGCAGAAACACAACCCATATTTCCCTAAGAACCGACACAGCACACTTCTGGCTGCTGTCCGGGGAGGGAGGTGATCCACAGACACCCCAGCACCACAATGTCATAAACATTCCATACATGTAGAAACAGTAGTGATATTTAAATGCAGAATTTGTATGGCAAAACATAAACAGCCTGGTAAGCTGCCAGTGAACAGATTATCACCAGACAGGCACGGAAATGGGAAATAGAGGCACTGCCCAAGAGAAACCTGAAGGTGAATGCTGATTAAAGATGCCAAAGCTGCTGAGCTGGATTCCATCTATGACATTAAAGTGACCGTACAGGGTAGGACGGAATGAAGAAACAGACTATGAGCCCTGTAATGGCACACAAGAGCTCCCGTGGTGTTGTGGCAAGACGTTCACCTGCAGATCAGAAGATTGTGGGTTCGGGCCCTGGCAGAGTCCAATTTTTTCTCTTCTTCAAAATGATCTTGACGCTCAAGGTCGACCCAGCTTTGAGTGGGTTCCAGCTGAAGCCCTGGGAAGTAAAGGCAGTTGGTGCCCACCCAAAATATAGAAAAATATAGATCTAGCCCTATATGCCCAATACGCCTAAACGCGTGGAAAAGGGTTCTTTATTTTACCTATAATGGCACAAAAGGACAAAGAATAAATGACTGTTGCTAGTGAGCTAAATGATGGTGATGACTATAGTCCAATACAATGAAGAGGTGAACGAACCTTGTTGGCTTCCATGTCAGAAGGTCTGATCCAGTTCTGGACCATAAATGTTTGAGCCAAAACTGTGCAGATCTGTCTGTGAGTTTCTGACGTCTGCAGCTGCTTGATAATCCGCACGGCATCTTGTATATTTAATTTCTGGCACTTTACCAAAGAAAAATAAATAACACAAGTTAGCACATACATAAACTGGTTGAACTGCAGTACAGCTATGAAAAAAGGTACAGCTGGAAAACATTAAATTTGTGAGTTTCACAGAATATTTCAATAAACAATAAATGCTGCAGTGAAGTCTTCATCAGAAAAGAAAAACTATGAGAAATAAGAAACGACACTACAAAATTATCATATAGTTCTGAAGTAACAAGTCAGACAGAACTACAGAAAATGATAGACAATGCAGTGGTAGAAAATGGAAGAATGGGCCTCTGAATAATGGAAAAACAGAAGTAATGGTGGTATCAAAGAAAAGAATTATTTCTAAATGTGTAATAAAAGTAAATGGTGTTATTTTGGAACAAGAAAAGAAATTTAAGTATCTGGGCACACGGATAACATTAGATGGAAGATGCATTACTGAGATAAAAAAAGACAGAATAGGACAGGCAAAAACTGCATTTTATAAAATAAAGAACATCTTATGCAATATATCTTTGTCATTGATGATTAGAAATAGAATTCTTGCTTGCTAATTACATCCAGTTTTAGCATATGGCTATGATTCCTGGACAATCGGTAGGCAGGCCAAATTTGCGAGGTCTCAGAGATGTGGTTTTACAAAAGAATGCCTAAATTACCTTGGAGAGCCAAAAAGGGCAACCAAGATTTTTTTTAAAGAGGCGGGAGCCTGAAGACAACTTATCACAGACATCATTTTTCGCCCATGTTATGAGAAGAGAGAAAATGGAAAGATCTGTTGAAGAAGGGATAGAGGAGGACAACGAGAGAAGATTCTTGACAGTCTTTATGCGTGGCATGGAATGGTGTCAGCACACAAACGAACATATATGCTCCAGAAAATCGTGGATTGTGGAGAGGCATGATCGCCCACGCCAGGCACCTGATGATGATGAATTCTAAAGTAACTATACAGCTCATAAAAAAAGAAACACATTTATCCGATGTCAGGTTTTAAAATTAGTTGACCGGGAAGCCTGTATGCCTGTGAACTATCATGTCAAATCAACTGATCTCTTTGATAATGCACCTATGAACTCTCACCTCCTCTTGAAGTTTATCCTCCTGGCCCAGCTTGTACAGAAGTGACAGCTGGATCTTGCGGACCCCCAGGTCAGACTGCAGTTCAGGATGGCTCAGACAATTGTTGCAAAGATTGAGGGCATACTCCTCACAGTTCTCCTGCAGCATCATGTCCACCCTCAGTTGGAGGATAATGGGGTCTTCCTGCTCTATGTAGGCTCGCACTGTACATGAAAACACAAATGGTGGACTTATTACATGTTGAACTCATCTGAAAAGCTGTCTTCATGTGTGACTGGCTGTTCTTCATATCAAAGATTAATGTTAAAGCTAAAGTCGACAGGATCGACTTCACTGCTCCAGGTTTTATCCCCCAGGGCTCGGTCTCTCTCAGCAGAATCTTAGCCAAATGCCGAGAGTGTCACACAAAGCACAAACTCTGTAGCTCAGGTGAGGATCCCCTGTGATTTCCATAAATATTGCACTCGTGAATTGAGCGCAGCCACTGTGAAACAAACACCCAACCATCGGAACGCCTTGACCACTTCACAACGGAGACCCCTAACGTGTGATTGTCTATGCTCTGTGTACCTATCAAAGTGTCGTGTGACTGGCTACTGTTGATATCAGAGAGTAACTTCTGACTGGCTATTATCTGTGTGCCTATCAAAGTGTCATGTCCCTTATATCGAAGTGTCAAATGCGACTGGCAGGGGGCAGCGTGCAGGGTGTGTGTTTGACACTCTACACTAGAGGAAAGGCAAGACAGCCACATAACTAACTGCTACTGGTACCACTGGCATTGGAACATTACTGGCTGCTGAAGACAAGGAAGTGCTTATGGGAATGTCCTCAGTGCTGCTAAGTCAGTTCTTAAAGCATCTGGCTATTCTTCATGTATCTCAATCAAAGCGTCATGTCTGACTATACTTCTTACAGTTAGTCATAGTTAGTTAGTAGACAGATTATCCTCAATGCACATCAAACCATAAGTGCTCGGATCCCCTCTTAGCAAATCCAGCAGCACGTAGCGGCTGACACCATTCTGTGTTGGTTTCTTATTCTTCTTTGGTTTCATGCATAGTGCTTTTGTCTGGCCACAGCTCTTTCAACATGTTCTTGCATTCTGTCATGGTTGCAGATTGACAGTCATCACTTGGTTCCCATAGAGCATTCAATATCTGCATGGTCCATGGCTTGTCCACCCGCCATGTAAGCTTAAGCTTATCAGCTTGCTTATTTCCGTGTATATCTGCATGCACTGGCACAAATATGAAACTAATATGTGTCAGCCCTGACAGCTTCAGAGACTCCAACCATTCTCTTCGGACCCAGACCATCTCTACCTTCCTGGGCCTACTTATTGAGTTACTGAGAAAGCCACGTCTCCAACCATGTTACTGCTCTGGTCACTGCTATGACCTCCATAGTCAGACTACTTGTGGTCAAGGCAACAGGACCAGAATCTTCCTGCTTATTTTAACTCCATCTCTAGCTTCTTAATTTTAACTCCAACTTGGGCCGTAAAAGCTTAAAAGCTCCTCACATGGCGAATCACAGCCCTATCTGTGTAAATGACAGCATCCCCCTGTGAGGAATTCTAAAAAAAATCAAAGCTTGCACTTCTGCTTCAACAGCGGTCAGAAGAAATTAATGAAATCTACTATCAGTTTAGGTTTATACAAGGTGTATCCATGCCCTTCACTAGATAAGCAACTCAAACACCAGTACTGAACACATTTAGGGGTCTTGCCTCTGGAGAGGGGGAAAAGAGCTTAGACTATTCCCTTTTTAAAAGGGGTTATGAAGTAGTCTTTCTCCAACCCCTATTTGTTACACAAGCCATGAATTGGTTCTTGATCTATATATACTGTAAACCCTTTTACTTCATCATAACATCTCATGAAGCAGGTTACAATGTTTTGTTTTGTCATAAATCTGGTTCAATATATCACAATGTACTGTTTTGTCCTAAATCTGGTTCAGTATATCACAATGTACTGTTTTGTCATAAATCTGTTTCAGTATACCACAATGTACTGTTTTATCCTAAATCTGGCTCAGTACACTACAATGTACTGTTTTGTCATAAATCTGGCTCTAGTACCTCTAATCTCAACAAGCACCTTTTATTAAAAACTCGTTTACCTCCTCTTGCCTTTGACCGTCTCCAGTCTACCTACAGGGCAACACATCCGTGTGTCTATTTCCCATCCCTTAACCTGTCTGGCATGAGAGAAAAACCCGTAACCTTACCAAGTATTTGAACCAAGGTCTCCCACAGTTCAACCCAGTGTTTCTAATCATTCAGACAGATTAGAAATGCAATTTGATTGAATAAGTCCCTCATAAACCGAATAAGCCCAGAATGTATCCTGTTGCACCTCAGTTAAAGAATCAACATGCAAGAATTAGTGCAACCTCAGAACTTCCTACTCAGACCATGCCAGCCTAGGAAATCTGTTACACCTTTCAAAATGTGTTTACAATGTTATGAAAGGTGAAAAAAAAAAAAAAAATTGGAAAGAAAAAACAAAAACTGTTTCATGCAATAACAAAAAGACAAACTGCTTGTTCCCTGTTAAAAATGATTATAAAAGAAACATTTTAAAATTTAACCAGTACAAAATAAAAAACAATGTATGTACCTTCTTCTTTGTCACCATCTTCCACCTCGCCACCCATGACTTTAGCCAAAGTTGGATTTGTCCAGGGATTTTCTGTGAGGGCCTCTAGCAGACGGAATCGAGGGAAATCGAACGGCACCAGCTTGCCATGGAGGTTGGCAAGTGAAGCCAAGAAGTTCTGCCTCAAAGAACTGTCTTCCTCCAAATTCTGCCATTGGATGTTCAGTACCGCTTTTGCACATTGCCTGCACACAAAACCAAAGTAATGGGAATGAATAAAATGACAGACAACAAAGGGAGTTGTGTTATCACAGTGGGTGGATATTTGCATGTGGCCTGAGATTCTTTGGTCTAAATCAGCATCCAAGCTGATTTCTTTCTATAAATGTCCTTGGTTCCCAGGTCAACCCAGGATAAAAGGTAACCAGGGAATGTCCAGAGAAGTAAAGGCAGCTAGCATCATGGAAACCCACAGGGTGCCAATACTTTTATTCTCTCCAAATATAGCATCTAGTCACTATAATAGTGACACACAATCATTCAGTCAAGCATCTAGTCACTGCATGACTGTGGCTCACAATCAATCAGTCAAGCATCTAGTAATTGCATACTGCATCTTTTAATCAATCAGTCAAGCATCTAGTCACTGCATGACTGTGGCTCACAATCAATCAGTCAAGCATCTAGTAATTGCATACTGCATCTTTTAATCAATCAGTCAAGCATCCAGTCACTACATGACTGTGGCTTTCAATCAATCAGTCAAGCATCTAGTCACTACATGACTGTGGCTTTCAATCAATCAGTCAAGCATCTAGTCACTACACGACTGTGGCTTTCAATCAATCAGTCAAGCATCTAGTCACTACACGACTGTGGCTTTCAATCAATCAGTCAAGCATCTAGTCAACTACATGACTGTGGCTTTCAATCAATCAGTCAAGCATCTAGTCAACTACATGACTGTGGCTTTCAATCAATCAGTCAAGCATCTAGTCAACTACATGACTGTGGCTTTCAATCAATCAGTCAAGCATCTAGTCACTACACGACTGTGGCTTTCAATCAATCAGTCAAGCATCTAGTCAACTACATGACTGTGGCTTTCAATCAATCAGTCAAGCATCTAGTCAACTACATGACTGTGGCTCCCATCAATCAAGCATCTAGTCAACTACATGACTGTGGCTTTCAATCAATCAGTCAAGCATCTAGTCAACTACATGACTGTGGCTCCCATCAATCAAGCATCTAGTCAGCTACATGACTGTGGCTCTCAATCAATCAGTCAAGCATCTAGTCACTACAATCAATTTAACAATTCTTCTTATGCTGTATATATGAATACTAAAAGAACATTGTTCAACACATTAATTTTACCACACTGTGCTATCAGTGTCAAATGTGGACACTTGTCTTCAGAAGACAGAAGGAAAATAGTCGCAACAGAAATGAAATGTTTACATACTATACTAGGTGTAATGAGGAAAGATCAATTTAGGAACGATGATATCAGGGGAGTCAGCACACGACCAATAGTAAACTTTATAGCTAAACAGCAGGTTAAATGTTAGTTAGTTAGTTGGTTGGGTTATTATCACTGCACTCCACTTGTCCATAGGTGCTCAGATCCTTCCCTCAGTATGAGCCCCAACGTCCGATGGCTAATAGTACCAGTTGTATGTTTATTAACAAGTCTTTTGGCGTGTCTGGTGTGCGTCTCGTTTTTTGCTATGCCGACTTAATTCCCAAGTCTGCCATTCTGGTGAGTGATGTGGATTCACTGCCCCAAAAGTCCTCTATCCTTCCCATTTCTCTGGGGGCAATAATAATAATAATATCAGCACGATCCATAGGCTGACCGTCGGTAGTAGCAGGTTAAATGTTTGGTGATGTAACAAGATAGGGCACAACAGAGAGCAATGTTATGCTGATACAGCGGTAAGAGCCAGAGGCCGACAACAAAAAATATGAATCGCACAAATATCAGAGATGCTCAAAAGTACTTTATATGAAGCGAACAGAAGGGCCCGTTCCAGAGATCTCTTCTTACCCGACGCCGGGGGCATTCCAGGAGTAGAGGAAAGAAGAAGAAGAAGAAGAAGCTTATGCAGTAAATTATCATAAAGAGGAGTTAGATGTAGTTTTCTGTCTTTTGCTAGTTATGTAGCTTTTGTTAATATCATACTGCATCTCTGTAGAGGTTTGTTAACTCCCCCCCCCCCCCCCATCTCTTTCTTGGCTGACTCTTGTAGCTTGTTGCCTGCTGTTCTCATGTTGTATGCTCCAGCTGCTGGCCATATTTTGTTCTATTCAGACACAAAACCTTTTGATTTTCTGGGATCTATTAAATAATTTACTGGTACCAAGCCTAACACTGTTCTTTTTTCTTTATTGGTGACTATGTCTCTTCTTGTTTTCCCCTCTGCATTCATTATACATCTCATAATTACCCCTTAAGTCAAAAGGGGGCTGCTTTAGCGCAGTTAAGCGGAGACTCACTTTCATATCCAGCTGCGACTCGCTGCAGCCCATGGCCAGTGTTCGAAACCGGGCCGTTCCCGGGGTTTACCAAGCCTCTAGGTAATGGGTACCAGAGTGACACTCTGGGATAAATGGAGGAACGTCGCTGTAGCTACGGAGTTACATGTGGACGACGACACAGGCGGACAGTTTCTTATCAACTGTCCAAACTGGTGGCACAGCACTTATAGTTTAGAACCATGTGCAGTGACAATGGTTCACATCTCCTGACTTTACCTTTACAGTCAACTGATGACTTAATAAGCCAGTCTTACCTAAAAAGTTTGAAACAGAGCTCTGATAACGCTGGAACAGGCTTCAAATATGCAAGTTGTTCAGCAAAGTGAGCGGTCACAAGCCACAAGCCTGTTATAACTGTATCATAATCAGTGCTCTCGGCCACTTCATCTAGCACCTGCAAACAGAAATAAGAAGGAAACAATCAAACATGAGTTTGTTTGAGATACGGACATGTGGCAACGCTAGCACTTGCAAACAAATTTTCAATGAAACTATAAGCATGAGATATGGACATGTGGCTACGCTAGCACTTGCAAACAAGTTTTCAATGAAACTATAAGCATGAGATGTGGACATGTGGCAACGCTAGCACTTGCAAACAAATTTTCAATGAAACTATAAGCATGAGATATGGACATGTGGCTACGCTAGCACTTGCAAACAAATTTTCAATGAAACTTTAAGCATGAGATGCGGACATGTGGCTACCCTAGCACTTGCAAACAAATTTTCAATGAAACTATAAGCATGAGATGTGGACATGTGGCTACACTAGTAATTGCAAATAGAAATAACAGTGAAACTATAAGCATGTATAAGCATGAGATGTTGACATGTTATCTCCTGCAAACAGAAATAACAATGTAACTATAATCATGAGATGTGAACATGTAGCCACACTAGCACTTTTAATAAAGGGCAGAAAAAGAACTAAGGCTACAGTGAAAGGAGGGGGGAGGGGGGGAGACAAAATGTATTTTCAAATGGTCACAAACTGGGCATCTCTTACATCCGACCAACCCAAACATCTTTTAGAGTTTTATTGTATTTTATTACTAAAGCATATTATGTTCATACAACAATATACACAGCTGAAGGGTGGGGGAACCTTGCTGTCTGTTTTGAGTTGAGTTGCAGCTACTGACAGACGTGTGTGTGTTATTTACAAAATGTGTTGATGGCATTAATGACACCAGTGACAAACAGGGTTTAACTGAGCCCAGACAGCCGCGAATGGCTGAATGCAATGATTGATATCAGACAGGGAAGAGGACTAAATGTTGATGCTGAATATGAGAAAATGACAAAACAACACTGACCAGGAAGCATGTATCTACAATCAACCAGCATGGATACAGGCCATGTCTGGGAGAAATGTAAAGGAAAGCACAAATCAACAGAACACACTCAACAGAATATGAAGTGTTAAGCCCATGTAAAACACAAAACAAATGTAAAGGAAACATAAAGGCACAAAACAATCAATAAGCACACGATGTAGTAGGCTGCTGTTGATACACACTAGATGTGTACAGAATTGTATCTACTGGCCTATACAGTTAGTTAATTAGTCTAAAGATTATCCTCACTGCACATCCAACCATTCAGACCATAAGTGCTCAGATCCTCTCACTAGTAAATCCCCACAGGGTTGCTCTGGTACAAATATAAAACTGATATGTGTCAGCCCTGACCGCTTTAGAGACTCCACCTATTGTCTTTTGATACAGGCCTTCTCTATCTTCCTTAGCATACTCAATGATTCACTGAGAAAGCATGCACAAGAGAAGGTCTGGGTCTCCAGCCATATTATTGCTTTCCTCACTGCCATGACCTCCATAGTCAGACTACGTACTTGTGGTCAAGGCAACAGCACCAGAATCTTGCTTCACAATTCTAACTCCAGCCTGAGCCATAAAAGCTTCTCACGTGGCGAATTACAGACCCATCTGTGTAAATGACAGCATTCTCCTGTAGAGAACTCTTTAAAATCAAAGCCTGCACTTCTGCCTCAACAGTGGCTGGACTTTCTTGTCTGCCTTTTCTGTCAAAACGGATGCAAACAGACAAAGTAATACTGCACTCTGTTGTCACTTGTACCAGTTCCTCACCATGTTTATGTACTAAAGTGAACACATCAGTTGAATAATGTCCTCGGCTTGACCCATCCATGCTTTATCTCTTTTTAATCTGCTGCCTATTTCTGTTTAATTTCACCATGCAGTGGGTGTCGTGTATCTGTGTTGACTCTGAGGTAGACACCTGCTCGGTTAATTTTAATTCAGTCGTCCATGGTTGTAAAATCGAGAAGGTAGCGCATAGCCTCATTGTGTATTCTTTCCATCCTCTCCCTCTGCTTATGACTGCGAGTCGGGATCACCATATTCAAAGACAAAAAGGAACAGACCTTGATACAAAGGGCATAAATTAAGCTGTTTATAGTTTGCCATGGCCAAAATTCTCATCGCTGCCAAGCCATGCTTGCCTTTTATTATCACCTGGTCTATGTGCTTAGTATAAGCAAGGCTGCGATCAAATCGCATCCCCAGGTACCTCATTGCCAGTGTTCATTCCACAATCTTTAAGCACAGACTCGCAGTTGGCGTTGGGGTATTGACAATATGGTTATCCAAAGAGAACCACATCCTGCTGCCTTCTTTGGATTGACCAAGGCACTCGTTTCATCACCCAATTTGCTTAT